GATGCAGAGTGCCACCTCCAGCTCTGAGAGCGGGGTATTACATGGTTTTAAAAGCAATTTAACAAGGAAAGGGTAGTACTCACTCCATCGGCAGGTGGAGCTTGGGGAACCCCAACAGTGGGAGGTTCACCTTGTAGAACACCAGCTGCTCCACCAAAGCAGGATCCAAGGAGGTGCAGTAGGATGTCACTACATCCCCAGCAATGCTGAACACCATCTCGCTCAGAACACTGGTTGGTGGAGGACAGGTGTTCCTGGGCAACCATGGTCAGATCCTATCACATCTGGTTATAGCTTACCCAGTAGGCCAAGTGGGTCACAGAATATCGGCTCCATGTCCTAAATGAGATAGGTAGCCACTGAGGCCTTGGTGCTACCTGCCTGATGTTGGGATCTGGTGCCTCTGGACCCCAACATGAAAGCCATGCCCTTGGCCCAAATTGGCAACACCTGTTGTGGGGGAGACTAGCTGGTGAATGGAGTACTGGCATGGGACAGCAGATCCCCCTCTTCCATGTCCCCCTGCCTCTACTCTTCTGCCTTCCTGACCTGGTTCACCAGCACCTCTGTCCAATGATCTAGGGTTTTGCTGGTGCACACACTCCCCTTCACCCTTGGGTTGCACATGGCCACCAGCACGTGGACCATACTGGACTGCAATGGGTCCAGCCATTTCTTGATGCCCTCCTTCTGCCACTTCACCAGTGCCTGCAACTCTGGTGACAGCAGCTTGCCCCAGCCAGGAACACTGATCCCCTGGAACTTCTCCATTTGGTTCTGAAGCTCCTTCACTATGGGGATCACCTGGCTGAGGAGGGTATCACCAGCGCTAAGGGTCTTGGTGGCCTTGAGGAAGGGCTTGAGGACCACCAAGATCTGGGAGAGGGTACCTGTGGCAGGGCAGGGGCCTGGGGTGCCGTGTCCTCCCCTCGCGCCCCTGCCTACTGTGCCAGCTCAGGTTCTATGCACCCTCTGTCACTTGCCCACCACATCTTTGATGTTTGGTTCCTTGAAGGGAGGCTGCCTTTCTCCTTCCCTGGCACGATGCCTGTGATGCCTATGCTTCTTGCGCCCACGCCCACACCGGGCCCTTACTCACGCTTCTCGCGCCCGCTCTTACTCGCGCTTCTCGCGCCTCCCTGCTCGCGCTTCTTGTGCCACCTTACCCTCACTTCTCGCACCCCCACCCACTGGGCCCCTTGCTTGCACTTCTTGCGCCTCTTGCGCCGCGCTTCTTGCACCCACGCCCACTGGGCCCCTTGCTCGCGCTTCTCGCGCCTCTTGCACTTCTCGCACCTCTCGTGCCGTGCTTCTCGTGCCCGCACCCACTGGGCCTCTTCCCTGGGCTCGCATAGGCCGCACTGGGGTCTGTTCCCTGTGCTCGCATAGCCCGCACCAGGCTCCTACCTGCGTGACTCACGCTCCCTACAGCGCCCTCCTTGGCACTCGGAGCACCCCCACCTTACTGGGGGGCTCCCATTGAGGCCTCCTCCACCCCTACAGCCTTGCCCAAACCTCCGGTGACACCGCGCTTCTCGTGCCACAACAACTAAAACCATATACGCAAAAAACCCCTGGGCTATAACATAAATTCCTGGCCAACCTGGCTTGCTACCATGTATCTCCCATCAGGGTTTGCTCGAGCTCCATTCTCCTTGGCAGCCAGAGGGGGACTAGACTCTGTCCTCGGCATATGCTGTTTATAAAGGCCAGGCTCTACCCCCTTCCGGTCAGATGACCAGACCGGTTGTCATGGCAACCCACACCTGTGCTGCCCTGGTGATTGGCAGCTGAGCTCGTAACACTGCTACAGTACCCCACTCAGCTCTGTTCAGGGGGCCGCTGATCTCAATCTCCCCAAGCAAGGCCATCTCATGGATGGCCTTCTGTTGCTCCACCAACATTTTGAGCAACAGGCATGTGGAGTTCCACCGAGTCTCCACATCCTGCATGATTTTGTGCTGTGGGATGCTCAGCTCTACCTTTTTGTCCTGCAGCATCTTGCATCCCTTGATGCTCCAGTGGAAGTAGCCTGGTACTTTCCTGCATTTTGAAATGAGCTGACTGGCTGTGACAGTGCCCTCACCGGCAGCTCTGTGCCCCTCCAAGGCATCCCTGACTATAAGATGGAACTTGTATGCCATGCAGTAGATGCCAACAAAGTTGGTATCATGGACCGCCTTGACCAGACTGGTTCCATTGTCAGTGACCATGAGCCTGTAGGTGAGCTTGTCTTGCCCAACGAGCCACCCCTGCACCATCTGCACATGGCAATGAAGATCATGGAGGCCATGCTTTCTAAGCCATGTCAAATTGGGCAGCAGAAAATTATGTACAGTTTTTGGTATTTATGAAATAACCTGATTAGGGGTGCCAGTTATACATCCTTTTACACTTGCACACAGCGCACATCTACATGTTCATTAATGTACAGTGGTTACTGCGCATTTAAATGTAGTACTTGTATAATCAAGTACTAAATAGACGTGCAATAACCAAAGTTACTGAGCAGTAATACCAGCAAACGTCTTTTTAGTGATGCTACTGTGCAGTAGCCTAATAATACTGTGCAGTAGCGTATTAGCACTGTTTGTGCTGTGATGCTACTGCACAGTATTATTAGGCTACTGTGCAGTTAGCGTCTCATGTAGATGCACCCTCAGAGATTGTAACACCAGGGTATTAGTGCTCTTTTTTGCTAATCTGCTATTTTTAAGCATGAAACATTTCTTATTCAACCTCTAAACACATTTTTACTACAGAGATCTAAAAGTCAAAGTATGTAGTCTGGCATCAGCACAGCCAATCTCATCATCTTTAAAATGCACCCCTTTCATCCAAATTTTCTTATACTTTAGCAAAACTCACCCAGTAATTATGATCTGATTTGTCATTGGTGTTAGAATAACTTTTCATATGGGAGATGTTGTTCTGAAGTTATATATAAAATATTACAAACTAAGAATCCTTAAAAATTCATGTTTGCAATTCAGGAGTTTTTTTCCAGGGTAAAGTATAAAACAATATTAGTAGATTTTACAGTATTCCATCCTCATCCCCTTCCATTCTTAAGAATATGATTTCTATGATATTTGCTTGTTAAAATACTATCACTGTAAAAGACTAAACATTGTCTTAATTATGTGTAAGCTGACATGATAAACATTTACCTGTGATATCATCTCCAAGGCAGGAGTGTGGGTATAGGGGCCAGTGGGGACAATTTTCCTGGACAATCATTTGCTTGTGGATCACTGAATATTTAAAGATTTCATTTTTTACGGTGCTGATGACAAGGGCCCCATAAGTAGGGCAAGCCAAGTCAAGATTTTGCTGTGCCTTTAAGTAAATCTATCCACCCTTCAGGCATAACAAAAAACATTTAGGTCCCAATTCACTGAGGTATTGGAATTGCTTTATGCACATGGGCAATGGAATTGATTACAATGACACTAGTCACATGTTTAGAAGGTAGGCATGTGGTTAAATACTGTCCATATCTTGAAACATAGCTTTGATTATGTATGAAATTGTGCCCTATCGATGAACTGATGTTCTCACAACTATATTACAATCACCACATGTTGATGGCAACAGTGAAAGGATCCTTGAGTAGCCTATGTGGCAAGCTACATTATTATTATTGGGTTGTTTTAATTTAACAAGATGTCACAATATTTAAATCAAAGATACTCTGGTGCTTGGGAAACAGTTTATTCCAAATCCGTCTCACTCTGGTGGGTACTTGTCCAGGGAATTCTGTTTGGAAAGTAGTATGATTTTTCCTTATAGTTACAGAAGTTTATGTTGAGAAGTAGAAGTTGTAATGGCTTTTCATGATTTTTTTTTTCATTTCTTAGCATATGGAAACATTTATATTTCCAGATTGATGGCTGTATTGCCACAGACAGAAGCAGCCAGGTCTACATTACCTTTCCAAATTGTGATCTAACTTGGAATTGAGTGTATTTTAATTTATTTTCCTGTTTTAAATAGGTTCTGAAATCAAAACATTATTGCTTAAAATGCCTTTTTCTTGAGAAGTAGGGCATTGTCAGTCAAGTGATAGATTTGTCATGTGCCCCTGGCTCCCTCTATTCCTGTGTCTTGTGCTGCTGGTGCAAAGTAGCTGGAAAGCTACCAAAACTAGTTTGAATCAGGAGACTCCTTCATTATCATGAAATCAGACTGTCTAGCCTCATATATATCTCTTACTGATCCCAATGTTGGGAAGAAGGCTGAAGGACAGAACACAGCTAGAGTGTGGAGGAGTCAACCAATGGATCAGATTACCCAAAAATTGATTCCAGGAATGCTGGGCAATAGGTATACAGCCACATTTGGCATCCTAGATCACGGGCTTTCAACCTTTTTAAAGAAGTATACCCCTTCTCATGATGGCCGCCAGAGGTAGAGCAGGGGCGGGGCAGGGGGGGAAGAGGGGCCTGCATGCGGCCACTGCCACCACTACCCCACGCCATTGCATGCTGCTTTTCCACGGCTGGTCGCACATGCAGCTCTGTGGGCTGCTGATGGGTCTCGCACCCACCCAATTGCTGGCCATCTGTCAGCAGCAGTGGGAAGGTGCAGTGGGAAGGTGGCGCAGGGTAGTGGATGGTGGTGGGGGCAGCCGCACGTGAGTGCCCCCCCAGCCGGCTGGTCAGTGCCTGTGCGGCCCACAGAGGGGTTCTCTCACCCCCCTGGCCCTGTTCCTGTAAGATGGCAGCACGGGGTGGCAGGTGGCGGTGCTCTGTTCCTGCCCACCTGCACATAGCCCCTAGAACCTTTCCAAGTACGCCTAGGGGTACGCGTACCCCTGATTGGCAGCCCCTGTCCTAGACCAAGCATAGCCAAGTGGAATTCAGCTAGATAGAGGTTTTAGCTCTGCACATACAATCTTCTGGTCAAAATTATATAAGATGCTGTAGTAGATAAGCATGGATAGTTCTGTCAAAAGATCACTGTCTTGAAAATTATCTTTCTTTTTGGCTTTTCAACAGCAAGTGATGGGGATTACTGGCGTCTCCTGAACCCTGGAGAATATGTCGTGACTGTAAGAGCTGAAGGCTACACCTCTTCCACCAAGAACTGTGAAGTAGGTTATGAAATGGGAGCTACTCAATGCAACTTCACAATCAGCAAAACCAACCTAACACGGATTAAAGAAATCATGAGGAAATTTGGAAAGCAACCCATTAGTCTACCAGTCCGGCGGCTCAGGCAAAGAGCTAGGCAGCGGCGCCAGCAGAGATAGACTGCTGCCTCTAGCATAACGCATGGCATTTTTGAGCTCTGCTTAAATCAAAGATGATTATAGTAATAGTAACACTTACATAGACAAACTTTACATACAGTTTTTCTGTTCACGGAGCCCATATGAGTAGAGCTGGTGAATATTTCTAAAACATGTTTGCTCAATTAAATAATTAAAAACAAATCTGAGTTCAAGTTGAGCCAAAACAGAATTGTTCAGGGGGTATAAAACTAAAGGAATCAAACTAACTGTTTTTAGTCCAACCAAAAATATTTCTTTTGACCTAAAATGAAATATTTGATTTTGGAGTTACTTTTGAAACTCTTTTTTCCTAAGGTTGATTATTAAATGAAAAATGGTGTTTTCAAACATTGTTTTGCTTAAAACCATTTGCTAAATTTGACCCAAATTCGCGAATAATTTTGTCTTTGCCTTAAAAAGCCCTATTTTGGTAAATTTAATATTTATCAAAAAGATGTTGCCCAGCTCTATGGATATGCATACTTGTATTGAAGAATATATAATAATTCCAGAACTTTTCCTTTAGGATGTTTCTAAACCTCTAAATTTTAAGGCTACATTATTGTTCTGTGAACTAAATCCAACTGCAAGGGCATTAGCTGGGGGAGCACTGCAGGGATGTGGAATGGAATATCCCTTCTCAGCTTAGAATGAGGTTGTTAAACACTGAATTATTAGTGGCTACAGAGATAGGAGGGTTGACTGTTGAACCTGTATAGTTTGCAGACCCAGTGAGCCCACCCTTGTCTTTTCCCTGGCCTGACTACCAATCTCTCTTCTATTCCTATACACACAGAGCGACTGTAGGCCACAGCATGTAAGGGATGCAGTGTCCTGTTCCTCTGCCCTACCATGTCCCCAATACAATGCTGCTGCTTTTTCAGGCCTTAGTATGCTATGGGAGGAGGGTTTGCGCTTTATTGACCTTTAAGTAATAAAACTGAACAGTTGTGTAGGATTGATTTTCAGGAATAATCCAGGTGAACTAGGGAGAGAACAAAGTGGAGGGAGATGGGCCAGATCCTCAGGTAGTGTTAACCAGTGCAGCTCCCAGGGGCTTCAAATATATTGAATTGATTTATACCAGCTAGGGGGAAGTCCTTCATTTTTAATCAGTCTCCTTTCAAACTTCTGAGAATAAACACAGCACCTCTTATATTCATGGTAGCGAGACTGCAATGTACACTTTCAAGAACAGCTCTGTTAAAACCATTATGATTGCTATTACAGTTCTTGCCTTACTTGATATGTTCTTATAATTCCTGGAAAAGGTGTTCACCAAAACTGAGGAAAATAAAGTGCAAGTAGAAAATTTACAGTGGAAAAACAATGTGCCTGCTGTATTTAATTTACTTCTTTTAATCAACAAAAAGTCTAGCACATAAAAATAGACAAAAGGTTATGGAATAAAGAGTATAAAATAATTATCAACCTTTGGATAATAGTAAGTCTTATTATCATCCACTGGAGGTGATTCCAGCACAGGCTTGTTCTGCAAATACCATTAAAAAGCAGTAAAGCTGCTGACCGCGAAGACGCAAGGAAACAAAGATCTACACGTAATTCTGCATTAGTGAGATGGGCACATTATTAGAGCATGTGTTCTCCTGCATTGGTGAAGTGGCTATGGTCAAGGATTTTTATTCCACTTCACGATGGACTCAAATGTGTTGGCAAAATTTCTAGATTCTGCAGCATGCTGGTTCAAAACCCAAGGCAGCTTCATTTAGTATAAAGGACAGAAGTTGTCTATAAGCTGAAGATGCAAATGAATAATTCAGCCTCTTATATAGTTGCTCTGTCTTTTGTATTTTGATATTATATTTTAGTTACTGCTCCCTGTTTCAATATGCCATGGACTTTTGTATCATGAATGTCTACTTGCAGCAAGGAACTGATCAGAATGAACCTGGGATTTTAGCAACTGAGCAGGGGACAGCTGCAGCTTTTCATGCACGGGGAAACCTGGGAAGCAGTGTGGGAATGTTGATTAAAAAGGGTAGCCAGGTGTTTCTGCTAAACTTCTCAAGCCTTCTAGCTACAAACCTAAATCTTGACATGGCATAGAGTTTCAGAAGACATAGTTTTTGAGATTTGCATGTTCCAGAATGAATACGGTATACAAATTGGTCTAGACGACCATAGAGCAACTTAGATGAGCTAATAATTTGTCATTAGAACAGGGTCAGCAACATTTTTTGGGCAGAGTGCCAAAAACACCTGCAACCTCCTCTTGTAAGATGTTGCCATGCCAGGGACAGATGCCAGGGGAGCCATGGGGTGCCCTCTCCTTGTTGTGGAAGTGTAGCCCTGGCCATATCCCCACTGTCCATCCCAAGGTGCACGTGTCGAGCAAAATGCCTTCATATGCCATGCTCTGGCACCATTTCTGGGGGTTGCCTGCATTGGAATATTTTGTAGATTAAATAATAAGCAAGAATTGAAGAAAATCAGAATTTATATCACCATTGGCTGTTGCCAGTGGAGAGTGAAGAGAAGGACAAGGAAGTGAAGATGGAAGAAGGAAGTGAAATCGTGTAAGTGAAAGGATCTCCTAAAGAAGGTAGGGCATAAGGATGGAGGTCCTCATATCTGGATAGAAGTATCTGGCAAGGAGACAATTTTCCTATTCCCTTAAACTTTCGTAGGAGGGGAGGATAACTGGATACCAGAGATGATGATGGGGCTATTTTAATGTGGTGTGGCGGATGATAGAATTCTAATATTATAAAAACCTACATCTGTCTGGCTGTCATACTTTATTCACACCCTGGTTGGCTGATGGAAACAGCCAATCAGAGTGCTCCAAGTCTGGGGAAGTGCTGCCATGATTCTGAAGCTGCACCGAGGACTGGACAGAGGGTGGGGGAACCAAGGCCAGCACCGTTCCCTGCAAGAGGCAGAAAAATGGCAGCCTGGGGCATTAGGTGGCGGCACTCCATCCCAGCCCCTTCCTTCTGGCCACCCATCATTCTTGATGGGCAATTAGCTAGTAGATGATAAAGGAAAGGTGACTTGCACTGAACAAACTATTGGGAGGTAGTATCCTGATGCATTACTAATAATGTTGCCACCTCACAATAGTGTTGCTACATCACATTCCTAGTGTTTAGTTTTACTTCCTCTGGTATCTGTGATAAATATATTTCTATAGACATAGAAAAATAGACACACACAAATTCCTTCAGAGCTGACCATCTGATAAAAAAAATCCCTTAAAAACTCATCCAGTTTTGTTCTGTAATTTGGACAGTCCAAGGCACTAGTTGAAGTTGTTTGCTTGATGTTAACGAGGGCTGGCTAGAAAAAAAGAATTCTGCTCTGTGAAGAATGGGTCACTCAGAATACAGGAGACTCAGGCCCAAGGCTTGCCCACTTAGAACCAGAGACTTGCTCTCCACTCTCTCATACCCAGGTGCCCTATATCTCCGATTCTGATCAGACTTTGTGCTGTCAAAATGAGTCCTTTTCTATGGAAAGTCCTGGTTTTGATGAATCGTTATTTTCTGAAGGCAGAAAAATTACTGAGTTATTGGTGGCCAGGTCCAGTAGACAGGGACAAAAGCAGTGAAATGTAACTTCTTTATGCAAATTAAATAGTTTCTTACTCAGTGGTGGAATAGGATTCGGGTAATCCAGATTCCATTTCCAGTTTTGACACTAGCCTCTAGTTGACTGTGGGGCAAGTTCCTCTACTTAACTATTTCAGTTTCCAAGTCTGTAAAATGGGGACTGATATTTAGTCCCTTCTTAAAATACTTTGAGAACTGAAATTGGCCATAACTGAGCTAAGGATATTGTTATTAAAAATCCAAATATCTCTGTAGCCCAGGTGTACTCAGGTATGTACTCCCCTCTCCAATTGAAGGGACTGTTAGCTGGCAAGAGTGCTGTGGGTGAAACTGCAGGCTGAGAACAGTTTCCCTCCATCCCTATCGAGTCAGGGCAGGACAGTCTGAACTTAACTATATACAAATTTATTTATATACACAAGTTAGTAAAAGATGAATATAAATATAAACATATGTACATTTATATATAATATACAGGTATATAATATGAACCTCAACTTATAGACAAATTCTATATGACCCTCGTGATGATGCTCCCACAGGGAAAAGGATCCCCAGTACTCCCAGCCCTCTGTGGCCCCAGTGGGGATGCTTCCCAATAAAGCCTCTCTCCCTCCTCCAAAAAGCCTGCCCTGGCTTCTCCCTCTCCTGTGCTTCCAAGCTCTGGCTCTGCGCACCAAAATGTGCACCGTTCACCACGCTCCTTGCAGCAGGACTGGGGACACAGCCACTCGCCACCCCCATCCAGTGATGGGATCTTTGAACTCTTCAGGCCAATGGCTCTGCCCCACTGGCCAGCTCTTTGGCCCACTGTCTTCTTTATCCCTTGATTCAGCCTCCCTTGTGCCAGGCATGCTGCTCTTTTATTCCCTCTGGAGCTCTAGCCCTGGATTGCAAACAGACCAATGAGGCTGAAGCAAGGTGAAGACTTCAACTAGGTCTGGGTTCTCTGCCTTGCCCTGGGTAGGGGTGTGGCAAGGCCCTCCCCAGCAATTGCCTGACCAGTGGGAGGTTTCCACCAATCACAGTGAGAATTCTCTGAGCTCAGACATGCCGGGTTGCTATCGGTAAGCCCACCACATCTCAATATACCCTTTTAGTTACACAACATTCTAAGTCAACAAATTACACTTGCCTTATGGGGATATCATGAAGTGCCCTGTGGCTCACAAAAGCTGCTCTGATTTAGTTAGTCTGTAAATACTTTTACTTTGCCTTCTTCCTGACTTCAGACTAACATAACTACTTGCCTCTTTCTCACCTGAAATTGTCAAGTTTAAATTTCTGACACAATCAAGTTTGTATGTATCCAGTGATTTTCCATGATTGTTCTTAGGTTAGAGATAGGATTCTGGGCACAAATAGTGAATTGCCCAAATCTCATAAAGTCAACAGCAAGGCTGGGAAAAGAATCCAGGTTTTCAGAACTTCAGTTAGTGGGACTAATCAGTGCACTGTTCTGCTTCCCAAACCTGAAACACTACAGGCCTTGTTACACATTAATTTTAGGTGGCTCCTGGAGCTCTTAATCCCTGGATTGTCAACACATTAACACCTGAAATTAGTTTGAAGCACCTTTTAGGCAACTCTGGGTTAAAATCTGTGGGGAACATGGCACAGGGGATACTATGGTGGGAGTCTACTACAGACCCCCCTACCCCGGGTAAAGACCTTGACCAGGAGTTTGCCAGGGAATTGGCTGAGGCCACGCGCTCCCTATGTATGGTTGTCATGGGAGAATTAACTACCCAGACATCTTGTGGGAGGAGTGCTCAGCCAAATTGGAGCAGTCGCAAAGCTCTCTCTTGTGCATGGATGACCTTTATCTAACACAGGAAGTCTGCAGGCCAATGAGAGGTAAAGCGATGCTCAACCTCGTGCTGGCAACTGGGCATGACCTAATCAGTGACCTAACACTTGAAGGGAAGCTAGGTGACAGTGACCACGAGCTGATCACCTTCATCTTCTGCTGTAAAGCTGGCAAGTCAGTTAGTAATACAGAAGTCCTCAACTTCAGGAAAGCTGACTTTGACAAGCTAAGAGGGCTTGTCAGTGAGGTCCTAAAGGGCCACAACCCAAAGGGGAGGGGAGTTCAGGATGAGTGGTTGCTCCTCAAGGGAGCAATCCTGGATGCACAAGCAAAGTCTATCCCGTCTCGGAGGAAAGGCAGCAAAAGGGCACAACAGCCCCCTTGGCTCTCCAGGGAGCTGGTGGACCTCCTGCATCTTAAAAGGAAGACCTACAAAGGATGGAGGACTGGAACTACCACCAAGGAGGAATATTCTGCTCTGCTCCACACCTGCAGAGAGCAAACCAGGAAAGCCAAGGCTCCGATGGAACTCCAGCTAGCTACAAATATCAAGGACGATAAAAAGTCCAGGAGCTGGAGGAAAAGCAAGGGCAACATTGGACCCCTGCTAAATCAGATGGGACAACTGATGACTACTGCCCATGAAAAAGCAAACGTGCTAAATGGGTACTTTGCATCAGTTTTTCCACCAGTCCCATGAGATGCCCTTGCCCACTACGGGACAGGGAGGCCCGGGTGAGGGGGATTCTTTACCTTCCATCAAATCTGACCTCATGAAGAAACACCTTGACAGGCTAGATACCTTCAAGTCAGCCGGCCCTGATGGTTTACACCCAAGGGCACTCAAGAATCTGGCTAGCATCATAGCTCAGCCCCTGGCATGGATCTTTGAGAACCTTGGTGCTCTGGTGAAGTGCCCAAAGATTGGAAGAAGGCCAATGTGGTGCC